TCCTCCACATCCTCCAGAGCCGACTCAGAGGGCCCCTCGCTGTTGGAATCTGGTGGCAGCTCCAACGGCTCCTGCTGGGCCAGAACAGGAACCTGTAGCAGATTGATGAGGCAAGTCTTCTTTAAGGGGGATGATGGTCATTTCCATGATATCGTTGAGCCCAATTTAGCTAAAACATGGCAGTTACATCTTATTGTTAATTTCCTTCCAGGATTCTAGCGATGCCTTGTTGTTGGGGCTAGGGCATTCTGGGACATTGTATAGAAACTAAAGTGACAGAGGGCAGGGTTATGTCAGCAAGAGGATTTCTACTGACAAAGTGGTTGTGTAATGCTGGAGAGTAGGCAACTCGAAAAAGTGCCAGCCCATGCAGCAAATCCCTTGAGCTAGCATAGCAGTTGGGAAAAGCAGTTTTGTTTGCAAAGACTTGCTGCAGTTCAAAACACTACTTAAGCGTGTTTCAAACTCTGAGAAGCTTCCAGGTAAATATATTTTATTCTGGAAAGGTAGAAAAAAAAGGAATGGAAGGAGAAATCCAGGAGGAATATCCAAGAGAGATATAGTCTTATCCCCTTGAAACATTTCCGGGATAATTAAATTCCTCCCTTGAATCGAATACTGGGAATTCCATACTTGGCCATATTCAGCTGCATGTTGTGAACAGCAGTCCATGGACTCATGGAATCATAGGAGTAGAACCCTGAAATCATACCAGAGAAATGGCTGTCCAACCTTTGTTTGAGACCTTCAGTGATGGAGCATCCATAATCTCAGGTGACATGTTATTCCACTGCCTAATTGCTCTCATGGTTAGGGGATTTCTCATTTTAAGTTCTCTCTCTCATTTTAAGAATCTCTCTCTATAAAACTTCTACCCAGTGGTTTTGCCCTACCCTTAGGGTTATGTACTAAGTAGATTAAATCTATAATCTCCTTTTTGTAATAATCTTTCAAGTATTTGAATATCATGAACATATCTCCTTTTAATCTTCTGATGAGAGAAATGTCCTTCTGGGTTCGGCTCCAAGTGGGGAAAAAGACACCGGAGACATGGAGGCTGCTTGGAAAGATGGTNGGGGTGAGATGGAAGTTCCAGGCAGCAAGAAAAGAATTATTGGGTGATACGGTATGATATCGTGCAAGCAGAATCAGTGAGCTGCGATACTTCCAGTGGGACGTGAGTTAATATAGAGTATTGGGCATTCAGAAGATTTTGAGATCTTCTTGGCTTGTGCTTGTGGCAATAATCTAGTAGCAAAATGGTTAGTGTGCATCTAAGGAAGTAATTGCAGTGTGTTCATATATGTGTGGGTGGGGAATATTGCTTTACTCATAGCTACGTTTGAAGTAGCGATGGGGTGGAGTTACTAAGGTGCACGGCAGAGAACAGATGGGTAGATTTCACTTTGACTTTGTTGGTAAGATAGGAGGTGAGACTTGCTATTTGAAATGAGAAGGAAAATGTCTGCAAGTGGGAGGCCATATATAAATGGAATGGAAAGAACCTCGTTCAGTATATATATATATATAGTCAATTTCATGCAAAAAATGTGGCATTTGGTCAGCCTGGGCTGTTTCCTGTCCTTACTCCCAAATAAATTGGGTTAAATCTGATTGGTATTTGGATACGGACAATCAGGAAATTCCCCCCACAGTGTTGCTAGATTCAAATGTTTTTAAAAACCAGTCCTGGAAGAAAATAAACGATAGAGCTTCCAGCAAATTACATGGATGTATCCGTGCATCTGAAATGACCTGAGCTCAGCTAAAAGGAAATCACCGTATTAGGGAAGCCAGAATTCTGGGCAGCAGGCAGACAACTTATTTTGAGAAATGATCCATGATATAAGATGAGGCCTGTGCATAGTTCTGCTTTGAGCTGAGAGCCTAAATTGCAAACAATTCTTTTGAAATCCATACATATTGTTGATGAGCCAAACGTTTTGTGAACATAACATGAAAAGTCTGGAATCACAAAAGCCTAATCAGAGTTTTGATTGATTGATTGATTGATTAAGTGATATCAAAACAATGATCACATAGACAATGCCTCCTTGATGATCAGTTATTAAATAGGTTTTTCAGGACTTCCAACAATGCACCCAGTGCCCTGGGTAGGTGCATTGCCAATAGCATCCCTATATCACTAAAAATGATACGTATGAAAAACAAAAAAATATATTTGAAATCTCATGGGATCATTAATTGAAATTCACTTAGAATTGCCTTCAAGTGAAACAGGTTCCAAGTCTTATAAACAATATAAATAAATTAAAATTCATTGTTGAAATCTCACAAGTGGGATTACTAAAATATAATATACAGTACTTGCAAAATTACATTTTTTTTCTTTTACTCTGTCTGGCACACCATTATACAGTGTGCAATAAAGATGCTTCAAGAAATTAGGAAAATTCTCATTTCTTATAGAATCGTCTGTGAGAGAGAGGGAGAAGAGAGAGAAGGAAAGGAAAAAGAGAAAGAAATAATCTCAGTATTTTGTAATTACCAAAATTGGTTTACCTTGTCTACATATAATTTCTCTAAGGTGCAGTATCATCAGATGACACTGCGGTTCTTAAAGTGTAAAAATTAAGTAATATCCCATTTAAAAAACGCCAGATCTTATATACCCAAGCAGGAATTATAGTACAAAACTCACATCTGGCACACATACAAATTGACCTTAGTTTAAAATATAAATGCAGAGAGTGAGACTTCCAAAGAGGCAACTCCTGGTGCTATCAGTCAACGCACTGAAATTGGAAGAATATTTTAATACATTGATTTGTGTTACTAATTCAAAATTGGGCCAATCTTGAAATCAATGGGGTTTTTTTTCCCAACAAAAAGCAGTTGCCAAAAGATATATAGTCTTGAACTTCTGCAGAAGCTGAAACAACTACACAAAATACATTACCAGTTATTATTTTTAATTTTATTTGTTTATTATTTACCTCGATCAAATTTGAGAAGTTTTGACAACAAACCAAGGACAGATCATCAGCTCATCAGTCAAAGGGAGAGAGAGCAGCTGTTCTCTTTTCCAGATTAACTCTTTCCCTGGTGCCTGAAGGCTACTTCAGCTGACTGCAGTTCTGCAGTTCGGCTGTTCAAATCTCACCAGGTTCAAGGTTGACTCAGCCTTCCATCCTTCCGAGGTGGGTAAAATGAGGACCCGGATTATTGTTGGGGGCAATATGTTGACTCTGTACACTGCTTAGAGAGGGCTGAAAGCCCTATGAAGCGGTATATAAGTCCAACTGCTATTGNGGTTCGGTAGATTTGACGAACCGGTTCTACCGAACTGGTGCGAACTGGTAGGAACCCACCTCTGCCCCCAACTAATATTTTATCTCAACAGTCCAACTAACTAAAAAATATCCCCGGTGAATAGTCTATATTAGAGGAACCCAAGGAAGACTTTCCACAGCAGGAGTTGTTCAAAAGTTAGTATTAGCCAAGAGATTCACAATATGGTCCAATTAAAGTATTTCAATTTTGTGCTTATTGTTAAACTGCTTTTTTTTCTTCTTCTTTTTTTACAATTCATTGCATCTTGTGGCTTTGTTTGGCTGTTTCCTCTTTGCTGTTTCTTTTAGTTTATCTGACAAATCGAAGTATTTTCTCCACAAAAGAAATTCAACGAAGTCTGCCTCCGGCTTAAGAATCGGCTGGTAAAATGTGTCTCCTTCGTGTTGTATCCCAGCAGTTGTCAAAACCAACACTTTTATGATGCTGCTGTGAGGAAAAAAAGAGGCCTTGGACACAAGAGGTGTACAGGAAAGGGAGATTTTCCTGCAAAAAAAAAACCCTATTGCAATGCTCTTCAAGGAGGAAGGGCTGAGCTCATTTTTCTCCTTTTCAGCCCCTCCTTCTCAGGGGTGGGGTGAGGAAGCTCCCCAGCCCCCACCCTGGTACTTGTCTTTGTGGTCTGATGTCAGTTGCAGAAGAGGAAGCTGGTGGCTTCTCATTGTCTTTCCCAGCTGCGAGGAAGGTAGTTGGAAAGCAGCCGAAGCAGCCATTGTGGGTGGCGGGGAGATGGAACTGTGGAAGCAGTGCGCCCAATGGCTCATCCAGTGCCGGGTGTTGCCACCCAACCACAGGGTGACTTCGAAGGGGGCCCAGGTCTGCGATTTGGCCCAGGCCCTGCGGGACGGGGTCCTCCTCTGCCAGCTTCTCAACAATCTCATGCCTCATGCCGTCAACCTTCGGGAAATCAATTTGCGCCCCCAAATGTCCCAGGTGAGTGGATGGGGGGAAAGGGAGAAGAGGTATCTGGATGGCAGAGGCACAGATGTGCTCAGAAAGAGGGGCCAGAACCGAAGTTCACCAGAAACGTATCAAGTTCCCAGACTTGTCACTCTGGCAACTGAGAAATGTGGTTAGGTGGAAGTGGGTGAATGTGTGTGATTGTGCAAACTTGTAATTTTGCCAACACATGCATATAAACGGGGTGAGGTGGAAGTTCCAGGCAGCAAGAAAAGAATTATTGGGTGATACGGTATGATATCGTGCAAGCAGAATCAGTGAGTTGTGATACTTCCAGTGGAACGTGAGTTAATATAGAGCAGTGTTTTTCAACCTTTTTTGTGCAAAGGCACACTTTTTTCATGAAAAAA